GTAAAAAAAAAATCTTATAATTATACAATCAATTCTTACAATTACAACCACAATTATAATTATCCGATAATAACACACCAAGTCAAGAGAAATTCAAAATGACTTTGATTTAGAACATCATGAAAGTCGAAATGATGATTTTTAATTACAAAATTTGACTGTTTATAGACTTTAAGAATCAAAATAAAGCTATTTTGATTTTTTGGTTGATTTTTGTATGTTCCTTAAGTACATACGCAATTATATAGATTGAGACCGAATGAGCCCTCACAGTGTTTCGAAAGGAGATGAAAATTATAAAAGTGAAGAAATTCACTAGAATATTTATAATTTCATTAGTCAGTACCTATAGTGAATTTGTTTACTTTTATAATTTTCACTGGTTTGAAGATACACAATCGACTCCCCTGAATGATCTTTAACGTAAAAACGAGGAAAGAAAAATTAATTTACCACGAGCGTGTATACTGTGAGCGTGTTCAACCGAACTTCTATTTGCAGGAAATTCGAAACCGTAATAGAAGTTTGCATTTCGTGGATATCGATTCACTTCCTTTAAATCTCATCAAAAAACTTGACGATGAAAAATAAGATTCCACTTGGAAAAACTTAAATGACACGATTGTGCTGCTTTCCTTTTACGAGATTACATATATGCGGAACGAAATTATATAATTATATGACGTTGTATACAAACTTTAGGCATTTTATGCATCAACCGACATTTCTTGGAAAGCATTCCCAACGTGCTCACGACGTTATACATGTGATTGCTATTTACAAGGCGATGCGTGTAACACGTTTGTTGATCGGACACGAGAGAAGTCCGGAAGTCGCGTTAAAATTCCGCTCCGCAGCATCTATGCCCGCAGAATCCGCGCATGGAATGCATATAGAGGTTTATTTTCTATCTGATGAACAGTCAATTCCCGCGAACGAGTCCTGTCAGTTCTTTACTATTCGCGCGCTTCATAATAATGGAGGAAAAGTTGGTCGAACTGTATCGACTTTCCAGAAAGCCGTGCGAGAGCCGTGTATTTTAGTAGGTGACGGTACATTGTTAGTATCCCCTTGAGTAAACATTATTTATCACTTCTAGCTGGCACAGTAATAAAACATGGCGATAAAATGAGGCGGACACTATGTAAGTAGCGTCAAACTTATCGATGATTCGATTGATCGAATCTAATTTCGAGCAAAGTTTATTATTAGTACATCCTTAAAAAACAAAGCATTTTGACATTGTCTATAAGATATCTTAAAATTTCATAAATGTCTTATACTTTCAGAAAGACATTTGTGACGTTTTATAGGTCTTGATGATCTTTGAAAGTTTTTTAAGAAATCTTTAAAACATCTTATTTAAAATCGGTTTTAGATTGATATGGTTTCAGTCAGTGATATAATTTAAATAGTAATGTATACATGCATATGTATATATGTATATATGTACCTACATGTTTAAGAATTGGTTGATAAAGCACGCGATATATCAATAATTTAAAATCTACATTACTTTTTTTTTATTTTTAATTGTAGTAACAATTTAATATATATTTGTCGAAAATTTTACATATTGTATATACATGTACATATATATACGTATTTATCATTATTAATTAATTTTATCAATCATCAATAAAGTTACTATTTACTTTACCCGTAAAGCGCGAAACTTTAATAGATTTAAAGAAAAATTTATCAAGTTTGCAGATCAAAATTAGAACTGGTATTAATAGACGGAATGAATCTCATTTAATTGTCTTTAAAAAAACGATAAATTATAGCGGAAAGACAGAGTGTGATAACAGGGACAAATATAATTACGTTTATGCGATTCATTTATTATGATACCTTAATCCGTAGAAAATAATAATGACAATGTACATTTCTATATATCTGTCGCTCAACAAATAAAGTAATATGTATAATTACAATGTACGCGCCGTGCGCAGCTGCGAGTCTTCTACAAGAGAAAAAAAAATTCATCTCCTTCCCTCTTTTCTTTCTCCCTTTTTTTCATCTTTCTTTTTAGCTGGGCGACTCGGAGGAGAAACTCACAAAATATCGTCCTCCTCGATTCACAGCGATTCATATACGAAATTCGTATATAAATCTATAACAATGATTATTTGCAGCGCAGGGGGGGTGCGATTTATGATTCTTCTTACATTCCTTACTCTCACGAGCGATTAATCGAAACGTACGAATTAACATCATTTTCCTAATGGCAGTGTGACAAAAATTCTGCCAATAACGAATGGGGGGAGAAAGCGTCGCATGCGACGGATCTACAAAGCAAAGAAAACGACATCACTGATTCGAAAACTAAATGTTGCGACGCAAAACTTTTGTTGCGTAAAAAGCTCTTCGAAAAATTCCCTTCCCTCATCATATCCAAGATGTCTATTCCCTTTTTCCTTCGTCGTTTTTTCTCTAAAAAAGCTTCAAATTAATTGTACAACTCGTACAATTGTATGTAAATCGCAAATAAAGGGAAAAAATCGAATCGATCTTTCCTCGTACACATTTTATATAAAATTATCATGAAATGGGCCGCTACGATCACGCAGCGTTTACAAAAGATCATTATGATTACAGTGAAGCTGCACCGGTATAATCGTTGAATTATATCATACTTTCTAAGTAATAATTACATATTCTTTTATAAATTCATGTTACATATCTTCGAACTCTTTAAGTTCAAGTGATCTTGAAATTATATTTTAAAAACAGAGTCCTCTTTTATTAATTTTAATGAGAGACAGAATTTAATTACATATAATACAAATTATTTTAATCAAGAATCAAAAAATTCAGGATAAACACATTCCCTTCTACTAGATTAATCAATTTGGTTACCAATTACAGTCAATCACTTGTTATATTAATTAATTGAATGCACCAATGTCTTCTATCGCTAATAATTAATATTGTTATCAGAGAGTTGCTGTCGATTAATGCTCCACAATTTTATATTTTTTGGCCAAATTTTCTTTCTATGTGCTAGAGATTCGGAATGAGCTAAGTAATCACTAATTATATTAATTATTGCTACGGTTAATCGATTTTAATGCTATTTTTTAAGTCGCGAATATATTAATTTTTCTTTAGAATTTATTCTCCCGATATATTTATGTATAGGAAAAAGCGGACATTAAGATTTCCTTTTTAGGATCTTTATGGAAATCACAACTGTATTTCCTTTTTTTCTCAAGAGGGCTCAATTTGACGAGGATTATTCATTAAACATTTGGTGAAATAGTAAACATTAAAAAAGCAGTAATTTGGATAACTGAATATTAATTAAAATTTAATCATCCACTTTCATCATTTTCGACTAATCGGTTATAATTAAATGTACAATAAATAATATTTCTGTGTGCATTCGAACAATTTTTTTTTAGAAAAAATCAATGAATTGCACAACCTACTGTATTCTTTACGAATTTTTCATCGCTATGTAGACATCATGCAAAGTCGTTTTTTACAATTCTCTATAGCTCTTACTCAATACGTAACAAAAATTTTCTCTTTTATTATTTGTTAATTACAGGTGGTTCACATATTAAAAATGATCGACGTTGGATATTAATAGTATTGGACAGTAACGGCCCATTCGTCAAATAAAACCAGAATTTTAACTCTGTACACTAACCAAGTATCGTGCGTACGTCGCATAACTTTTACTTCATACAGAACTCCTTCCGAACTTATACAATATCACATTTCAGATTTTGAAAATTTCAATGATCTCTATAATAAGTATTCTAACAACGTGAGAAATTAGATATCAGATTGGAAATGAAGTAATACTGCTTTGTAATAATCAATCTCCGATTGAATTAGTCTCTAAAATGACTAATCTCTTTATATACTAAAACTTTTAAAATAATGATATTACTTTCTTTCCAATTTGACAGAAGCAAAACCTGCGTTCTGCATTTTTTTCGTTATTGGATTAGAAAAAAATATCTAATAGTTTATTTGATACAAAATAAAATTGCGCTCTGATTTAACACCGAAAAAATTTCGAGTAACGCAAGTTTCGCTTTTCCAATCCTCACGTATCATACTTTCGTCCGTGAACAGAAGCGATGTAGAACAGATAGTCTCTTATTCGCAAGGGCGCGTTTCGTCCCCTCGTTTGCAATGTGAACATTCTGATTCTAGCGGCACGTAATATAACGAAAACGTTGCCGCGAATGAAACTCTTATAATATTTCGTTATTACAGTATCGTGTGACCCCGGTGTATTCCGTATACAATGGTATATGCAATGCGGTGCCTGCCTGCGACTCGCATCGAAAGACATTGTAATACACCGAAATATACATACATATATATATATATATATAT